GAGATTGAATGGGAGTAGTAATAATGAATGCATTTGATTACCAGTAAAAAAAAAAGAAAAGATAGAAGATTACAGACTTTATGCCTGTGTGTTTGCAGCTAAAATGTGTGAGTTGGGCTGGTTAAGGAAAAGATGAGGCTGAATGTCAGAACTGTTTGACTTCATAATGCACTAAAAGTGTTTGTATTTTCACCTGATGAAGTTAATCAGGTGTTTGTGTGTGTGTGTTCACTGGAGGAAGAGTTGCTGGAAATACCATGACTTTTATGATCAAAATGTTTATTCTGAGAAGTGCTTACACACAAACACACATGCGTCGTCTACATATTCTACACTTTTACCTCAGCTGCAACAGTCCCCCATAAAAACACCAGCAACACAATGGCCCACTCATACGCAAACAGAAAAATGGACACACTTTTCCAAATATACAAACATAAACACCCCTCTCTCAACAGTGTTTCTTTTGTGTCGTGGAAAGTACTGAGTTAGTGCGAAGTCATAAAACTTTCCATTGGCTGTTTTCTTGACCTGAGTCTGAAAAGAGTTTTGCTCATGAATCCAACATTTTCCATTGGTTCTTACTTCACAATGTGCTTTCATATTTAAGGCTCTCTGGGTTCTCTGCTTTAAAGGGATAGACATTTCACCAACATATGCTGTCTGCAGGTCATTCACACTGACAAGACCTAGATCCAGTTTAGACAACAGCTAGAACTTGCCCTATATAGATAAGCTAGATAGGGGTATAGTCACAGCAGATAAATGTCATGAAACTCAAAGGAGACAAATATGACAATCCCACATTACTTGGCGGGTGCACTGCAGTATTTACACTGTGCCTGATTTTTTATCTTTACTAATGAGTCAAGTCTGATGGAAATATTATTATCAAGTCAAAGCTTATGTCACCACCAACTCGAAGACCATCGACTATCATCTTGTGACGTATTAGCCTCTGGGGGCAATGGCCAACAATTTGGGGCTTCCACTGTAAACAGTGGATATCCGGGCCTACAGTCCACCTCCCATTTACTGTACAACGTGAGACACAAGAACATCGCCAGTTTCAGATACATTTTCATATTGAACACATGCAGGGTCACATCCTGCTGTGAGAAGATCACTGAACATCATCTAAGAACTATAGGTCCAGTGTCACACTGTACACGATGTTCACATCGACTCCTCTTCAAGAGTGCACACTGTTTTTTATGTCAAGATAGTGATTCCAGGAAGGAAATGTGAGATTTCATCCAATTACACCATATCCTCAACTCTTTGACCTTAAGTGCAGAGAAGAGCAGAGATGTAGGAGTGAACATACACATGAACACTGCGGTCCTGCCATGTATACTATGCATCACGTGACTGTGACCTCTTAACCTTTAGCTGTGCTATGTCGCCTGCAGAGGGATCCCTGGGAAGAAATGTGGGACCATTATTGTGAAAGCAGAGGAGCTGAACAACTGCAGGGTGAGGATGGATACATACTTCTGTGTCTCTCTGTCTTTTCTATGTAGAAGTGAGCAGGACAGATGTACCATAGGGTCCAAGACATAAATTACGTCGAAAGTGTTTATGGCCCGTTTGACCTTTACTTGAAAGTTTTAATATTTCATTCAAACCAAGAGGGAAACACAAAAACCTTCCAATAATTTTTGAACAATTAAAATGCTAATGCTAAACTGTTAAAAGCAGCTGTTTTTACTTATTATTGATGGTACTTTTTGATGGTGTCATGTGATTTACTGGCCCAAATTGCTGTGTGACAGTCAACTGAGAAACATAAAAATGGAAGCTCTACTCCTAATGAAAACACGTAAAACATTGATGAGTCCCTAATCTAAGTCTTTTACTTTGTTTACCCCCCTCAGGGAACTTTTGTTATATTCTTAACCTTCAGGTTTGTGTATTAAGAGATAAAGATTTTTATTTCCCCTATCCTTACACTCCCAATCAATTGCAAAACTTGATTTTTCTACTTATTTATTGACATTTTACCAGCCCTGTTCTGTCTTATTCTGCTTCCTCTCTGTCCTTTTCTGTCTCTGCTCATCAGGAATCTGTGATGATGCAGTTCTGTGGGAACAAGTTGGACAAAAAGGATTTCTTTGGAAAATCTGACCCTTTCCTGGTCTTCTACCGGAGCAACGAGGATGGCACGTGAGTCCTCCTCACACCCATTTCCCTTCTTTCCGTCTCCCCTTTCATGTTTGGTTTAATCTTTCCCTGCATCCAAAGGAAATTGCTTTCATTGATTTGCCTCCGAACAAAAGCCGGGCTGCCTGTTAAAGCATGTGAGGGAAATACATGTGGAGAGGTTTGAGCACAGATGTGTGTGTGAGTGTGTGGAAGCAGGAGACATTGAACAAGTGTGTGAGCATTCGATCTAGCTCTGTGGGCACTCTTTTCTATCCTGTAGTGTGTGACAAGTAAGATAAGACCTTGTGGCCCTTAGGGAGGAAGATACCAAGTCCACCTATGAGCCAAGGGACTAATGACATTACCTAGTTGCTGTATGTGTGTGTGTCTGTGTCAGGGCCACCCTGTAGTGTCCACAGACCTACAGCTTGACTTTCAGTGATTCCCCACTCATACATTTTCAAGTACATACTTCTCCCTCTCTTTTTCCCTTCCTCTCACTTGTCTCCTCTTCTTTTGCTCCCTTTGTTTCTCCCTATAGGTTTACTATCTGCCATAAGACTGAGGTGGTGAAGAACACGTTGAACCCTGTGTGGCAGGCCTTTAAAATCCCTGTTCGGGCTCTTTGCAATGGTGATTATGACAGGTAAGCCTGATTTCTATTTTAGATTTCACTAGATATTATGAATGTGAAAAATAAAATTCAACAACCCACACAACCATCTGTGTCATTTATACGGAAGATGTCATTCTAGGTAAGATGGGCAACTCCAGGGATATGATGGATGTTCTTCTGTGTCTAATGGCCTCTTCAGGCTTCTGCACACACAACATCTCACAGTTGTGGCTTGCATCTATTGAAAAACACACTAAACATTATTATATGTATACTACATACAGAGTAATGCAGAAATGATTTTTGGACGACATGCGTCCAGTCATCAACACCTGGGCTTTGTCTATCTATACTTGACATTGATTGGTTTGTAGATCGGTGTGTGTCTCACATCAGCAAATTCTGCAGGTTGCAGTCTCTCTGTTTAAATGGATAAAAAGAATGAGCCGGTTCATTTTGTTAATTTATTTGGCCCTGTAGTATCATTATGTTATTGCTACCAACAAGCTGCCTCTGGTTCTTTCTTTTCTTATTTAATGTTACCTCATTTTTCTGCTATTGGTCTGAAAGTCTAAACTATCAAAAAAAAATGTTCACACTGCAAACAAACAGAACCATTGTTCAGTTTGATCCAAATTGAGACCACCCTTTTTTATTAGACCACGTTTTGGTCCGCTGGTCTGGACCGTGGTCTGAGGCACCTTTCACAGCTGTTATTTGAGATCACACCATAGACTGTATATAAAGAGGATCACACTGACGCACAGATTAGATCACACAACGGAATGGCTAAAGGTCCGAACCAAACAAGTAAGGTGTTAAAGCTTAAAAATACATGTACTTTTCAATTTATACGAAAAATATTTATCTGAGGAAATAAGATTAAAGATATTTTCTTCAGTATTAAAGAAAACAGCACACAACATATTCATAGTCATTTATATTAATTTTTACCATTGTATAATGATTGTAGATATATTGTTTGGAAATAAATTTGACATTCTCCCACTTTTATCTTACCCACAGTAACACAAAGAAAAAAAAGCAAACTGACAGACAATCACATAGCAAGTCAGAAGTAATATATCATATTATATTATCTGCTTCCTTTTTTGTTGAGGCTGCATAGATTCTCAGAATAGACCCTTGTATAGATCCTCTCATCTTCTCTAGCTATGTTGTTGTGTAATCTCTTTGATCAAGTGATAATACATAAGGGGTGAGAGGGTCTTTCCATCTGAAAAGTGTGAGTCACGTGGCCAACAAAGGGCAAAAGAACAGCATGTTGCACTTACAATTAGCAACATCATATGAAGCAATACAACTGAATGCATCTATTGTCTCCTTTTTGACTATCGCAAATTGCACTAAAGTTATAGTACATGTCCTAAACATACTAATACATTTGGAGGAACTTGTTAGGGGGTTGTAACTAATTCATGACAACCAAAATCAGTTACTGTCTTGTCAACATGTCATCTATCAGATGATTTGTCATCTTTCAGATAATTTTGTGCAAAATAGCATCATTTATTTATTTATTCACTGTCCCATTTGTTTTTTCAATGATCTAAACCATAAACTGTACATAAAGATGGATGAGGAATCTTTTCCTCCGATTATCTAGAAATCAAGCCAAACTATTCTGTATATGAACACTGCCAACTTGTGCATTTGGAGCCAGGGTCTGTGCAGTAGCGTTGGGGGATTGGGCTTAAATAGTGAAGCACCACCCACACATGCACATCATGATGTTTTGCCCAGTTTTTGTAGCATTAAATAATTAATTAAACACAAACTTACTAGAAAAATTTACACAAACATCAGTGTGATATGAACTACCTAGAATGACAGAAACCATATTTGAGAAGAATTATGTACTCCGACTTTTAATTTGATCCATGTCGCATCCACTAACATGGAGGTCTAAGACCTATATTGGCTATTGGGACACTTTTGGGGAGCTTTCATGTCTTCTGTCTTTACATTCAGTCTAAAAGTGTGTCAGTCGTTTGTTGGCATCAATCCCTCCACGTGTCGATAGTGGTCATGTAGTGGAAAAGACACAAAGACACAGACACTGGGGTTTAGTTTAGCTAGCAGACAGGAGCATCGATCTGAAGTTCAGTCCAGTAAGCTTATTAGGGGATGTTACGTTGAGTCACACTATGTCTTATCAACAAGAGACTGAGGAAGCCCACAGTGGATCAAACACACACGCACACACACACACAAACGCTAGCACACTAAGACACACACACACACACACACACACACACACACACACACACCGCATCTGCCTCTGTGCAGCCTGAGAAACGAGATAAGGATGAGCCCATGCTGGCAAACAATAGAGCGCTGTGTGTTTCTGCTTACAGGTGCTCTGATAGGCCTGCGTCTACTCACTCACACACACACACACACACACACACACACACACACACACACACCGTGAAGCCATAAGATTAACAAACGAAATCGTCAAAGCCCAGAGTGGCTACTGAGATTGTGGCACAACACAGACATAATAAGATCCACGCCCATAAACACACACACATACACACATGCATTTATTTGGAAAGCTCTGCACACACTGGTTCCTCTTGAGGAGAAAGTGTAACACCAACCAGGAAACACACTCATCTCCAGAGTGCCTATCACTATCAGCCAGCCACTTCCCACTCCTTGCCCCTATTGCCTGCTTTCCTCTAATGTGTATCCTACTTTCTGAGCAGCTCTGAAGCCCATTAATTACATCTCATATTTCCACTTTCTCATATTGAAAGCTGAGTAGGATGGAAAAGTGGAGTTATGTTTGTGGTTTAAATTAGTACGGCTTGTTTTAGAAAGCCCATCAAGTTGTAAAGCGATTACAGTAAGTTCAGAAAAAAGTCATACAAATTGTATATGCCACTGTTGCAGACTTTTGCACAGTAATAATTGAGACTACAAAATTGATGTTTCTCTGCTTCCTACTGTGCAGAAGACAAACCTGAGAGAGGAAGAGCGCTGCATATTTTTGTCACTCTTACTGTCTTTAATTTATTTTCTGTCAGTTTCAAGTCTTTCTGCACCATCTTATCTTCACCCGTCTGCTCATCGCCTTCATGTTCTCAAGTAGAGGGCCTATTGCTATCCCCACTCATATTCGGTCTCTCTTCTTTTATGATTTGCCTCACTCCCCTCCTCCGTGTAACGCTCTCCTGCTATTGTCGGAGAGAAAGGGCCCTCCTATCGAAGATATTGATAGATATAGTTGAAATTGTAGCGCATCTGTCTATTCCATTTCTTTTCCCATTTCCTTGTAAACTATAATGGGAGGCTGAGATAGATGCACTTGGAGATTAGGGGGAGCACAACATTGGACGCAAATACAGTGTTTAAATAAAAAGCAGACAGTGTGCTGAAGATAAGCCGCAGAATGGATCCTCTTATCCTAACCACTCCACAACAACAATGAGAATAAAAATGAAACACCATAAATGTGTAATTTATAATGAATAAAGCATGGATTGTAGCTTTCTAACATATTGTTATTTGTGTTGTTATTCTGGAGATGAAAATAGCAAGTTTGTTTTTCTTTTATTGGAAATGTTTTTTTTATTCCTTATTTTTTCCTCTTCCCAACAGAACCATAAAGGTTGAGGTGTATGACTGGGACAGAGATGGCAGGTAATTCCTCTCAATATTTAACACATAATCTGTACAACAAAAAAGGTTGTGTGTTTGTGACTGCCCACTTAGTTTCTCCAAAAATAACACAAGTAGGCTGTGGACCCCTGATTCTGTCAGAAAAGTTAAGAAAACAGAAGAAAAATAAGTCATGGTAAAAAATAGGAAAAAGTCAAACTTTTGCCATACAAAGTCAAAACTTTAACTTTTAACTTTTTATCTGATTTGAAATTAAAATTTGATTTTATCATTTCAGTTTAGAAATTAAAACTGACACTGGCCTTTTCCATAGTCGGCGAAGCTTTCCTGATTCAAGTCTGGTCTAAATTAGCCTTTGATGTGACTTAATCTTAACGTTACCAACTGATTCAGAAGGTCCTTGATTTCCAATCACCAGCAGGAGGGCAGAGCATAGTCTTATTAATATGGGCCAACATCACTATGGCAGTGGAAGATCAGAGAAAGCATGAAAATGACAAAATTTCTTGCGATCACAGGTTTCACTCTCCCCTCCATCTGTTCAAATACAATATAATAATATGTTAGCTTGTAGCAGTAGCCCCATTTGAGACGAACAATAAACTTTATTTGCAACTCACCTCCAGCTTGCTAAATATATAGGAAAAATATAAATAGCACAGACAAGTGCAGCTGATTTCTAACATTTGTTTTGCTCTGAAGTTGCATTTCATCATGCAATTTTCTTTGAGATCCCTGGAATTGCTCAATTTTTGTTTTTTTCTTGTGATAAAAATAATAAAAATCAGCTATATCTGTCATTATGTCTTTGTTCTCCTACTTTTGTTTTAAGTTGAACATCTAAGAATCCTTTACTGTGCAGTGTGCACAAGGCCTGATCTAACCCAAGTCTTACATAAGTACCACTAGTCTGCTGTATGTTTTCAGAAGGTAAGGAAGTTGGGTGCAGGATTGTCACAGATTGACTGCTTAATGAAGAGTCTGGGTTCTGGCTGCTGACAGCAGCACAAAGAAAGAGGAGTGACATTTGTCGAGCTGTAGTTTAACAGGGAGTCATTTCTTGATTCTTTATACTCTTTATACTGATGGAGGGAGCACCATGACATTCTGTGCACTGTTCTACAATGGGACAAAGACACGTAAACATATTTAACTTGCTGTTGTGGATGTACATCATTTTTTTGTAATCATTTACCTTAAATGTCTGCTCACTTTTTTACTCACAGTGATGTAATACTTACATGGGACCTTGTTATTAGACAAAATGTCAACATTTTCCCTGTGTGCCTCACACATTGGGATTGCCACTACATTTTGCTCTACTTAAATTAATAATGGAATATATTATGGAATACATATTATTTGTTGATATATTCCTATTTGTTCTGTCTCCCTGTCTGTAGTCATGACTTTATCGGAGAGTTCAGCACCAGCTACAGAGAACTGTCCAGAGGGCAAAGCCAGTTCAATGTCTATGAGGTATGTGTGTGTGAGCTCACATGTGGTAATGTGTTACTGTATTAATTGTATTAATTCAAAGTGTCATGTTATTGACATCTTCTAACTACCTAGCCTAACCTAACCCTACTAGCCTCTAACTACATTAATCATTAAAAGACGAGCAGAGAGAGGATGCAAAGTGGACAAGAAACTTAGAAGAGTCCACTCACAATGGACAGGATCAAGAAAGGATCAACTTTCATCCTGCACAATCCATGATAGTGTATTTTATTATCCCACACATTCTTCTTCTACCAACAGCCTCTCATATTTGCATGTATGAAATTTCATCCTGCTATGATGATGCAGATTCCTGCTCCCACCCGTATCCGAGTAATTTTTGCATCCGCTGCTGGAAACATTTGGGTCGGGCCTCACTGGATTCCAGAAATCCCAATCTCAGTGTGGGTGTATTTTAGGTCATGTTGTCTCAGGGCAAGTTGCTATGGACTTGTTAAAAAATTTTTTCAGCCTACAAACAAAATTTCATTCACCTTCATTGTGTTGGTCGGTAACATCTCAGTGAAGAAGCAAATCAAAAATCGGCAGGTCTAAATTGGAGAATACGTTTGTTTGTTTCAGATGACTGACCCTTTGAAATAGTAGCCATTTTCAGATTATAATGCGATACTGATCCATTTTTCTTGTTCTGCTGTGGCACCAATGTGCTTCTGTAGTTACTGACACTCAGTTAAAGGCAACCAAAATCTTACACACAGGGATCCCACTGTACATTTCTTTATGCCCCTTACTCTCTCATGCACACACACATACACACTATCGAACACCGACTGTTATGGTGGCTTATCTTCTCCCAGGAAGAGTCAACACTTCTTGATTAACAGAGCACCACACTGAGAGGAGAGAGTAAAGAGGGAACTGTCATTTCAAACGGCTGCTGTTTGTCTAAGCGCTCAGTTGTGCATGTGCACAAAGTTGCACAGAGACACTCAGGAGTGAACACGCACAAAGTAATTTATGGTTTCCGGCCTGTTTCTTGACCCAGGCTTTTCCCAACTTAAAGTTGACAGTAAGAGAGAATGTCTTTGCATTGCTGAAGGCACTTGATGTGTGTTGGTGTTACAACCACATTTCAGTCGCTGCACCCAACCACCAGAGGAAAATGTGTCCTTGTGTGTACCTTTTGCAATGTGAACCAAGGAGAAATGCATAAATCCACACATTTGTATGTTGTTACCCTGGAGGTCTCCTCGTTCGGTTCAACCTTGGCACAGTTTAAAGAGACCATAAAGCTCAGATTTAAAAACCCAAATCCAATGTATTGGATTCAAACAGGTCTGTTTCTGACTGGTCCCCACATCACAGCATATTATAGGGGTTTCAAAGACTACTCCACTATCAAAACCACTAGCCAACACTGTGCATCGTTGTTGGCTACTTTTATGGTATAGTTGACAACTACTAAAATGAAGCAGTTGTGTATGGTGTTGGGATGATGTTGAGACCACGGTTGGAAAAAAAAAGTCTCTTTAGGTACGGCTGGTTTAGATGCATACGAATCTTCATTTATTCAAGGAAGGTACTCGCTCTTTGCATTCATGAAGTCACACCACTCAGTTTAGAGCCACAATGCACCCCTGGGTTTTAACTGCTCCTATGGACATGTTGGGCTTTATGTGCATTACTCCAAGGAATATTCATGGTGGTAACTGATTTATGACTGAGGCTTATTTGAGCATGGGGAGAGAGCAGAACGAAGGAAGGTACAGTGTACAAATTTAACTGTGACCTCAACTACCACAGTTGGATTTACTATAAATTTCAGAGACTTACGATCAGAGCAATACAGGGTCAGGTTTTGTTTAAATTGTATTCAATCTCTTATATATCATTTCTGTTTATGAAACCCTTTCAGTTATTGGAATTTTACTGAAGAAAAAGTATGTAAAGTTATTATTGTTTTGTTTATGAAATGAAAGACTGAACTAATAGATGGGCGAATGAAGTGATGATGGCATGACAAAAGAGAATCCTGTCTTTTTTTAAGGTGGTAAATCCAAAGAAGAAAGGAAAGAAGAAAAAATACCTGAACTCTGGAACGGTGAGGCATCACATCTGATCCTTTTTATCTAAAGTTGTATTAACTAGATATGAAATGCAGTACAATATAGGATGGAAAGAAACTCATAATATTACAAAAATACAGTCATAATTTAATGAGAAAAACTCATAATATGAAAATAAACTATGAAACCTCTTTAAATATCACACAGACGTAACCAATGACAGCCTTACAGTTGACCACTTGATTTCTTCCTCCACTAATTCCCTCAAGTTCATGTGGTTCTTTCTTTGAATAGACAAAGTTTCTTGCACTTTTCAAAGTCCTGATACTTATGATAATGTGGTGCTATAGTAACCAAAACATTAAGTATTTCCTTAGGGTTAATTGGGTTAACTTAATCTATATCATAAATTAACAGGATTCTCCACATTCCTCATTTTAACAAAAGTGACTGATACTTAATGTAATTGAATTTTTCATTGAATAATAAGCTGAATTTGAAGATTTGAATGTGTTGCCCTGTCACCCACAGGTGACACTGCTGTCATTCCTGGTGGACATTGAAGTCACTTTCCTGGACTACATCAAAGGAGGGTAAGTCAATGACCACTCATTCATTGAACCTGCGTTGAGAGATGGGGGTTGTAGTCCTTCAATGAGAAGTGACATGCTCAGTGTGCCAGTCTCGATAGTAGCCCCATCATTACTCGGTGTCTGCAATATGCCAAAGATAGTGATCCCTCGGTGCAAGTGGATCAGACAGAAAAGTGTAAATCTGCATGTGAGAGACATAAGGTGAGAGAGTTTGACCTCAAGTCAAGTACACAGGGGTCAGGCTTTGAAGTGTGTGTGTGTGTGTGTG